ATGTGTTCTCGTCGAGTCGCACTGGTGTACTGTATTTTAATTGATCAATTGGTGAAATTAGAAGCCTCGGAAATTCTCCAAGCGAGTTTCAAAGAAGGCTCGATTAACAGCCACCGTTTGGTCCGCGCTCCTTCCCTGAAATCTCTTCTCGGGGAGGAACACACACCAGACTCGAGAGAGCGGTTGACTTTAAAGACGATTTGCCAAAAAACGGCACTTGTTCTCCTCGACTACATGAGTACAAAGACAGACGTCAATAATGTGTTGAGCATGCATTCTCACCAGTTATGGCCACCAAAACCACAGGAATATCAGAGATGTATTTTCTGTATTGAGCCATTTTAGCGTAGTACCCTGACAAAACACTAAAGCTGAGCTCATCATCCAAGCTGAAAACAAAGATCACAGCTTCCACCCACTGAGTAAACTGTGAAGGAGGAGAAAAAAATACGTATTAACTTGGTTACTACAAAGGGCTTTAGTAATTTGCCGAGAGAAACAGCAAGTTTTGTTTCCCCAAGACCCTCGGGGTTTCCCAGGGAGGATCTCTTAAAGAGGATTATATTCGGCTGAGGGGAAACAAAATTCGCTGTTTTGTTTTTTTCGTAGGGTTAACTGTACGCGTTGCGTATTTTGTTGCGCTCAAAAAATCATAAAAATAATATTGGTTTCGAGTTTTCATGCGCCACCACTCTGGTCGGTGTAAGGCACGCGTACATTTATCGCACGAAACCTACTGCCTGCCCGTGGTTGCGTAAATTCCAACTGGGATGTTACATGGAACACGTCTTTTCAGTTTAGTCCACTAGGAAATGCCCGGGACAAACGGGAACGGGTCGAGAAGGTAGTCCCGTTTTCTCAGTTGAGCCTTTCCAAATGTTCAATAGGCCATTCTCCGAGTTGCCTTTTGCCTCTGTGTCAAAACGAGTCTTCATGCAAAACTATTCATATATGAAAATATGTTCGCCCTACAGGTTCATTTTCATGCAAATGAAACTCATGTTTACACGAAGACATTTCAAACAGAGGCACAAGCGAACTCGGATTTAGTGTTTTGTATCGCTTACACCTGTTTCAAACCCTTTGGCTCTCACGGCCATGCCCAATTTCAAACAAAACACATTCTTCTCAAATGGAATGTTCCAGACGAAATTCCAAATTTTTTTGAAAAAATTGTTAACTATTACAATGCCTTGAGGTGCATCACGTGATATGTTCTTGTCCAATCACAAAACACGCTACTGATTAGGAGAGCCGGTGGGGTGAGCAGACGAGTCAAATGTAGCCACGAACATGAATCGACGTTTTAAGGAAAAACGAGCGGAAAAGTAGACTATTTCAATCTAAGCGGTTTACAAATGTTGTAGCCTTGCGTATTTTTGCTCGCTAATAACGGAGAATAATGCTCAGAGCTTCAGTAACGCCATGCAATTTATGCTATACCGGTGCGATATATTTAATAATATTTTGTAGTGCGCGTTCATCTTTTGTATCAAGTTAGTCTGATAAATCCTTGATTGATGAGGTTCACTGTAAGGTTCTCTCCCTCGTTTAGTATTACTATACAGGTTTGTCGTTTGCTTTAATTTTTGCTGTTTGCTTGTACAAGATGCTTAATTAAATTTTTAATCTGAGGTAATGCTGTATAATTTTCTTATTGCAGATTCATCGATTTGCTCCTGGGCCTGCCAAATGGTCTCTCAAAAGATGCCTGGTTTTCCCACTGCTAAGGGGGTAACAACTTTTAATTAATAAATAAATATTTGTTTAAGACCATTTTACATTGTATGTTATTTCTACATTCCCAGAAATTTTTTTCCAATCTCCAAACTCAACACAATTTCTTTTATAATTTCCCTGCCAAAAAAATTGCTGTCTCTCAATTTATCAATCAAGGAGTTGTCACCTCCTGTTGTCCTTGAAAAAATGCCAGAAAAAATTCCAGGACTTTCCCAAATTTCCAGAACACATACATACGCCATACTAGTTACTGGGTTTATTCGATACCTGTACATCAGGGGGGCCAGTCTCATTCCTGATCAGCAACAAGCGGCTCTGTCCATCAAGACGCACCTCCTTCTTGTGGCGTCCAGTAAACGAATCCACCTTGGTGTACTCACCAGTTAGATATCTGTGCAATAAGTCAGACTTGCCAGAAACTGAACTCCCAACAACGCCCTGTATTGAGGATATATAATTATGTATCTTTGTTAAAAACAGGATCATTGAATAATGCAACTCAAGAGTTTTCATTGGCTTTGCCATCATGGTATGTGAGCAATAATATTATAATCCATCAAACATTTTCGCTTGCACAAGACTGAATATGCTCCAGCTAATACTGCGGAATATCCGAGTGATATTCCCCAATTTTGAAAACTATACGTGTTGCGAAAAGGATTTGAATAATGTCTATGATAAACACAATAGCCTCCATTTAGTGCGAAAATATGCGCAGATATTTGCCCTTGGACAATATCTGTTCTTCGAAGCTCACAGTTTTCCTCAAGCTACGCTCTCACAAAACTGTTTGCTTCTCGGAACAGATAATGTCCGCAGATAAATACCTGAGCACATTTTTGCACCAAATGGAGGCTATTGTTTATTTATACCATGCTCTGCAAATATGGTAAGGATATGCATAATTTTTTTGAAGCGTAAAAAACAAACCTTTATGGTCTGTAGATAGGGAACTGAATCCAAAAAAAGAAAATGTTCATTGTTCACGAGGCTTCCTTACAAAAATTACTTTTAGCTAATAATTAACAACTTGCACTCACCAGTCTTAGTTCACAACTGCTGTCAACTCTCAACGTGGTGAACTCAGGGCTGTTAAGGAACGATTCTGCAGAAAAAACCTCACAATCATTAACTAATTAAAAAAGGTTACCTCGGTAACAAGCTTTGATCAGCCCCATTCACTCCACAGGTGATTTGGGTAGGGGAGGGGTGTGGTACCCCCAAACCTGTGAAAGGAATGGTCTTTCAAATTTCTAAACAGGGCTTTTTGTAGGAACAGTACCAGAGTCTCACTTGGTGCACATGTTAATTTTAACCCTTACAAAAACATATCTTCTCTGACCATAATTACACCAAACTTCCCCTACATGTACATGTTGATGTACTAACTAGTAGTACAGGTTCTGCATTTTAAGTTCCTATCACTGGCTTCTCCTGGAACTTACTTGGCTCCTGAAATCATCTCTAGGAAACCCCTCAAATAGTCATCAAAAGGTACTATCAGTAGTGACTACCTTTGTGGGGATTTTTCTTATAAAACCCTAAAAGATTTGACAAGCATTCCAACAAGAGCTATATATTTAGAGAGTTCCCCTCCCCTCTGGGTCTAAAGAAACAAAGACCTGCATGGTGTGCAATCTTTAATATTTTTCTTCTGGGCAATAAATAAGTGTACTTAGACCACAGTGTTGATAAGTTGATAATGATAAGAACGAAGTGTCTCGCCAAAATTGAAATATAAGTTGGTCGAATTCTTCAACCAAAAATGTAAATAATACAAAATGTCATTATTTAAATTACGTGCGAACATCTCAACATCTAACATAATTTAATACAGTATATAATTAATATCTGTGGCATTTTATTAAGAACAAAGCAAGCCATACTCAAATTGCACCCAAAATCTCCTGACCCTTTGATATAGGATACAGAAATGGCAGTTTGATTGGTTGTCCATTATAGTCCAGTCTAACTGGTTTGACATAAACCATTTTAAAATTAGTTTCAGGAAATCTGACAAAATGCTCTGGGCAATGACAGCAGGCAGGGATGGGGAAATGGGATCTCTGATGGACCACAATCTTGGTCAGAATAAAATAAGAAATAAATAAAACTACCCGTTCCCCCAATCAATGATGAGCTGGAGATAAAACCCTACACGTTCCATTTCTCCATCATTAAAATGGGGGGGCAGGGGTGGGGGGGGGGGGGGGGAGGGGGG